ATATATATATATATATTGTTATTTATTTTTGTAGTCAAATATAACATTTATTTGAAATAATGTGCAAAATAAATACTATTTTTAGAATTTAAAAAATGGTGAGAGTATTGGTTATTTATGGGAAATTGATTTCTCAACTACAGACAATAACACATCAAGCACTTTAATTGAGCCATTAAAATTCAATTTTCAACTCAAATACTCATCTACTCATCAAAAAGGAAATCCCCATGACTTAAAATATGAGTTTTCTATTGATAACTATAGGGTAATTAGGCTAAAATATTTATTAAATTATGATGTATTTACTATATTAAACTTATGCTCTAATAATAAATTCAACAGACATTGATAATGATTCAAAGTAGGGTTGAAATGACTGGAAAAAGTGGAGAATTTTGTCGTGTTAATACTGTTTGTTCATTTATGGCAAATTTTAAAAGAATTGTATTGCCAAATACAACAACAAATGAAATTTCTTTCAAATATGAAGTTGTTGTAGATAAATCTATGTGGGTAGTGTGTGGACGTGGATCTGGTTTGTATTCCTCTGATTTATGTTTTTTAATTTAATAAACCCATTTTAATAAAATATATTTAGAATTTTTAATATTTTTATTTTTTAACAAACCAAATAAATCTTTTTTTTACCAGGTTATATGAAATTATAAATCATTACAATTTTAAATGAATAACATTTTAGTAATTTAATTTAAATTATTTTTATAATTATTCTTTATAATAATTATAATTTATTCTTCACATATATGCACATATATGAATCTTTATTATTTCCAAGAAGTAAATTACCTAATCAACCAATGTCTATTATATTATTTTTTAGGGATTTCACAATATTTTTGACATCAATATTGTGATCAGGGATTATCAACACTTAATATGACAATATAATTTTATTATTATTAAATTAATCAGGGAAAATTTAACCACAAAAAGATAACTTTAGAATTACATATGATGAGTTTTATGGGGGAGATATACCTTGTTCTATGACTAATAAAGAAAAAAGATTCTAAGAAAAAATATCATTTGCAAAAATTGATTACTTATGTACATTGTATGTATGAAAAACATTTCATAGATACGGTTTAATTTTATTATAAAAACTGTTCACCCCACGTTGTTGTTCAAAGTCTTGAATAAAAACAATAACAATTTTATCTTCATTGGTACCAACTACTATACCTATGTAATGCAGATTCAACATTTTTTATAGATTATATCTGCGCCGACTATCTAGGCTTAACAGTCAAAAAAATTAAAAATTCATGTAATGTTAGTTTCAAAACAAAGAAAATAATTGATTTAGAATTAAAGTAACATTGAAACAAATATAATTGGTCTATTTAAAGTTTAAATTAAACTTAATATTCTATTTTTGACAGACCCTTTCAAATTGATCAATACAATATTTCAATTTAAATATCAATATTTAATAATCATTACCAATTCCTATTATTTTTTTGAGTAAACATATTCTAACTTATGTAATAAATTATAGAAATTATAATTTTGATAAAAACTTTTTTTCTAGATGTAATTACATTTCCTTCTAATTCATTGACTCAGGGTGTGTCTATTGAAGTCATGCCATTAATTAGTGGATATCTGCCTATACCAACTTTTAATCTTTATCAATATTATCCATCAAATTTACGTCAAAATATTGGTGAGTTTGTTATCAAATGTGTACAGTTTTATTCATTATACTAATAATTTTTAAGTTTTTTATTTAAAATTAATTTATGATATACTAACAGTTAAAATATAATTTCAGAAACCAAAATGTCACCTTTCACAACATGTCAAGTATACAATTCAAATAAAGGAATTCAAGTACATGTTTTGCCACGTGTATCTTTAGAAACTTAGTTTAAAAAATATTATATGTATAATTTACTCAAATTTTATTTGCTCATATTATTTAAGTATACATTATTATTTTTAAAGTTAATTCATTTTGATAATTGTATTTATTTTTATATACATACATATAATTCTCGTTGCCATTATTTGTTTATTTTTAATTAAAATTATAAGCTGTACAGGGTTAATTTATAAATTATGTATTAAATAACTATTTTATATAATTATTAAATATAAATTCTATTTTTATAATTACAAGTAATATTTTTTTATCTTAAATTTTATGAATCATAAAATACAGCATAAGTAATTTTGTATTAAACATAACTGTATTTATATTGTACAACAATTTTTTGGAGCTTGGAAAGGTGCTTAATGCAAGAAAAGGTTATATATATACAGTGTTCAGTAAGTAAGAAAACGGGTTTCTATTGTTCTCATTATTTGTAACAATTTACCTGTTTTCTTACTTACTAAACACTCTGTATAAAGTTAAATATTATCGGTTTATAGAGAATGAACGACAAATTTTTTATAAAAATATTAATGATAACCAAAACGTAATTAAACTAATTTGAATGATTAAGTAAAATACTGTTTGATTGTACGACTACGCTGCGCCACATGATGTATANGTACTGTTTGATTATACGACTACGCTGCGCCACATGATGTATAAAAAACGTTAAAATATGTTAATCTATGATATTGTGGGATCCCACCTTTGCCACGAACTGATGATGCTCCGACATTTACATATTTCGACATTTGACAAAGTAGTAATTGTTACGAACATCTGGTACTCCGACCATCTGATTCATAGGTTACCAAAGTTATGACGGATTTTACTCCGACATTAAATTTAAAAAATGAGATAGTAAAAACTCCGACATTATCGATAGTTTGATTATGCATCGAAAGTTATATTATATTTCGATTGCATTGTTAGTAATAGGGCGCATTGATCGTATATGTTGCAACGTCAGGGTCACGTGGCTACAGAAACACTACATTATTAAATTAATTATATTATTATTAATAATATTGTAAAATTTAAATTAAAATGTTCTATTCAATTAGCATTTATTTGCTACTATAGTTATTATACAATAATATACATTTTGCTTATTATTTTCTGGTACAATTTCTCACATTTGACATATGTTATTAATACTCGAATGATAATAGTCATTCATTAAGTAACATAAAATTAATAGTGTTTAATACAAATGTACATTTTTGAAAAAGTTTTCTCTATTGTTAGAATATATATTTATCTTTGAGAATTTTATTTTTTAATTATCCAATAATTACAAAATATTTTCATCAAATCAAAAAACTGTTAGTTAACTGTTTTTTCAGTCGATCCACAAAATTTTATCTAACAGTAACTTATTTTTTAACATCTAAGAGATCCATTTGAAAACTAATTTTTCTATAACAAATATGTGCTGTAAAAATTGTCTTGTGCAATTTTATTAGTGATTAATTCCTAAGTGTGTAATATTAAAAAATAATAACTAATATAACACATAAAATTGTTTGTACAATATAAAATCATTCTTGGGGATGTCTGGATTTTTTCCTGTGCTGCATTAGGATATCTAAGTATAAAATAACACAGTATATCCAACTTCAATGCAGTAATTGTTGAACACATTTTTTTTAGTCTTATTACTTTCTGGAAGTTTCTTCCAATAGGTTTTTATAGACTCAGAAGAGTATGATTAATTTTTCTTTCAGCAATTTTAATTGAAAATTAATTACTAAAATTATTTTTAACTTATATTAAAAAAAATTAAAATAGTATTAAACTGTGTAAGTTTTGCTACAAGTCTAATATGAGTTATGCTAAGAATTAGTAAGTTTTGGTTATATATAAGTAGAATTAATTTTTTCTTATTTAAAAATTCTGTGTGTCATCTAAAATTAAAAATATATTAACTCATCGTTAAAAAAATTTAATTTTGTGACATGAGTTTTATAATCAATGTTAAATTATAAGTAAAACCATTATAATCTCCAGTGGTGCTCAAAAAAAAGTTAAAAATATTAAGGAGTAAAAAATTATTTATTTAAAGTTCTTTTTGTTTAAAATCTAATATACATTTATTGAAATCAGTTTAATATTTCCTTGAAAAAAATATCTGAATAGCCTTTCCTTTTTTTAATAATAATTAAATTTGTTGGACAATTTTCTCAGTGGTCCAGTGAGAAAAAAAATCTTAAATTTAATGAGGGCCTTCTGAGCCAGGCCGACACTGCGAAAAGATGATTATTTTGCCAATGTTTTCATCTCGTTAGCTTAACGCGTATCCTGCAAATACAAATGTATTGTTTTATAAATACAAAATGAAGTTTTTTTAAAAATTTGAATTAATTTTATATGTACTTTTTAGAATATGAAAGCATATTCCAAAAAAAATAAAAAATTATTTTCAAAATAAAATCACGTAATGTAATGTATTATGTTTTGTAAAAATGTAATTATATATATATATATGTCTTATAAAAAAAGTTGTACAGTTTCAATATTACATTATTATATTTGATTTCCATTTAATGAGAAAAAATGAATAATTGTTTGATTATCAATCATGATTATAAATTAAAATATTTAACTCTATACGTATATTTGACAAAACTTCAAATAATCATAATGCAAATGAAAAAAAACTGAACCATTATTTAATGAATTGACTGCATATTTTTAATCGAGTTAGTTAAGTTTAAAACCAATTTACTTAGCAGAAGATTTTTGTAAGTTTATGATAAATCATAAACTATTGTCCACTATTAACTTATAACTGCCTTTTGTTTACTTAATTTGACTAGAGCGTAGGAGTATTGCAACAAAATATTTGGGAACTCTAATTACATAATTTTTTACCTAATCTAAAAAAATATTTCTATACAACAAGAAATACAAATTAATTCATTTTCGGTATAGTCTATGGCAGAATTTTAGGAGACAAAGCCCCCTCAAGTCTCTCCAGATTGCGGTCAAATCCAAACTGGACTGAATTAATTTCGTTACCCACCTTTGAACAATGAAATGATATTAAATCATATTTTTGTTTGATTTCATATGAAACTAATTGTAATGACAGTTTTAGAGAATGGGATACCGAATATCTTTATAAACGCATCTGTTTAATAACGAATACTATCATCATAAAAACGTACCTCTATATTTTTTAACTAAACTAATTGAATGTTATAATATTAATGTGCTTACAATGTTATAATAAGCACTAATAAGGAGAGGTAAAAAAGATTTTACGTCTGAAAATTGGAATCGCTCTTCTTTCCCCTCCAAAAAAAAATTTAAGGGCTCACACCAGTTATGTTACCTTTATGTACCTATTTTATCAAAAGTCGGATACATTTCGGGGATCTTTATTGTAATAATTATTTGTTAATAGACAGTAATCAATTATAACGCTATTTTATTATATTAATTAATATTTATTAATTAGTGATAAGGGTTATATTTTTCCATCAGATAATATATTGCTACGATATTCATCTACTCCGAAATTTGATAATTTTTTAATCGATTTC